GCGGCGAAACGCGTATGTAGCTATAGATATATAGCATAACGCCATCTATCTGTACATAACCGAATGTTATCCGCACTTGACGAAGTGCAAAGTCGATCACCAATTAAAGGATCGATCGAATTCCCCGAGATTGTTTTCGCTCGTCATGCTTGATATAACCTAAAATTCGAACTTCCTCCGAAATCGCCCGTAAAATAAGAACGAAGAAGAGTTAGCGCACGATGTTTTTTTTCCTTTCTCGAGTTTGTACGTTGGCAACAATGACTCTGGGCGATCGACTTCGTTGTTTCGATTATCGTTTCGGTTACCGAAAACGAGGGAGCGAACGAGGGAGAGGGAAGGGGGGACGGAGGAAATGGTTCCGTGTGCGCTCAATTCGAAACCGCGAGAATAGAATCCGGGAGACAAACGAAACGCTCGACGCCGGACAGAGAGAAGTCGGTTGCCCTCCCAACTTGCTAATTCAATTTGCAAACTTCCATGTTCCGGCCGGTGATTCCGCGATCCCGGAGGATCGCCCCTTCCTCGCTATCTTCCGTTTATACATTGCCCGCAGAGACGACGCCATTTTCTCGACTGTGATTCACGGTCGGTAAAACAGCAAATCGGAAGCGAATGAGAAAGAGGAAAAGAGAGAAAGGATGACGAAATTTTTGCACGGATCGGATCGGGATGGAATTGCTAAAAAATTGGCAACATGGGCTAATAATTTACGCGGGGAAAATGGCTCGCTCGACTACACGGCTCCAATTTCGTCCCGCCAGTTAGAAAATATACAGTATACAGTGACCCCACAATTGACCACACTTTGGACCTTGTGACTGACCAACGCTTATCCCTACCAATATTCTAGAAGTTGGGAATATCTCCAATCCGCGTGAAACATAACATTTGAAATAACACACACAAAACAAGCGATATATATGATATCGATGCCAATTCCTAGAATACATCGCCCCTCTTAACTGACCAGTTTCTGTTTCGACTGTTGGTCAGTTATGAGGTCACTACTGTATTACGCCGAGAGCACCGGTATTATTTCACACAGTGCGCACCTAATCGCTGATATTAACGAGATTACCTTGATATCAATTAGATTATCTAATCTAATTTCTGACAGTCGAGGGTCTGGTCGATGCGTTCGCGAAACTAGATCGCGTCGTTTACTCCTTAAACTTTCAGTCGTCTTTATTCCCCGTGTAATCGTCCCCGTTTCGCGCGTCTTGTCATCTTCGATCATTGATCGGCCCAGTGGAGAGGACGACCGACTTGCAACGCAAATCACGACGTAAAGGTCCCACCACACACGTTGAAACATTTGGCCATTTCTAGGTTTACGTGCACGTTGCAGTGTGTAGTTCGGTATCGGTGAATCGGCAGGCAAATTCTGACTGTAAGGGCAAGTTTCGCGGAACCCGGAAGTTGATGCATGCTTCAACGTGTGTGTGTGTGTGTGTGTGGGGACCCCTTAAGAGACGACTCTTGTCGGCTGCGAATCCGAAGACGCGATTCAAAAGACGACAAGGGATTGCAGCCAGTCCTCCAGACGACTCGGAATCTCAACAGTTCGACCACGCGACTCGGTGGAAACTTAATAACGTCGTCAAAACGAACACCCTCGCCCGCCGGAGGGCTCGGTGGTGCCGCGTTTAATTAAACACGAGACTTACAATTCTGATTCAGCTGGGAGAGCTCCAACGCCGTGCACTTGTACCGATGCCTCGACTCCAGCGTCGGGATCATTATACCGATGACCAGGCTCGAGTCCTTCTCGTGGTAGCACACCAGGGCGTCGCATTCCTTTCCATCTGCAATTTGCGTCGATCGTTATCGTGGTTGGTACGGATGCGTGTGGCTAATGACAGATACGCGTTTACGGAAACGTTTAGGGTAGAGGTGGCAAATGAGAAATATAAAGAGATTCAGAGGCCTGTCCCGCGTGTAATTTCGAAATTATATTTGTTCAGTTCTGTGATCAGTAATTTTGAACGTGTTAACAAAATCCAGATGATCTTGAGTTTTTATCGAAAAGAAATTTCTCTTCAGCAGGCAACGAGATCGATTACACAGTGGGGGGGGGGGCATCTTTGAGCCCGAAATGTCCAAAGTATATAAAAAAAAGTCAATTTTATAGACGAAGAAAGAGAAAATTCTACATAATAGAGCCAAAGTATTAAAGTACTTTTTTGCGACATGCTAAAATCGTAATTTTTATATTTTCCAAGAAGACTGTGCAGTTTCTTACATTATGGACTTTTTAGGTTAAGGATTTTTTTTTAGGTTAAGTATGCACTACATTTCCGAGTGGTTTTTCTTTTTTTTTT